TTGATCAACAATATATTTATAATCTGTAAAAGATAAATTTACACCACACATAGTACAACTAGTTTTGGAGCTATAATTGTAAAAAAAAAAAGAAAAAAAACACAATCAATTGTATAATGGAAATAATTATCTGTATATCATTTACCTTTCATGATAATTGTAGCCTTACATATTTTTTTCTACTTTTAAACAAATTATAAACAGCTGATTTACATTTAAGCTTTAATGCTTTGGTCGAATTACTTCGCTGAGTTTGACAGAGACCCCATACATACACATAGAAGTGGTAGAATTCCCCATTAATCAAAACGCATTAGATAAACAAAAATAAATTAACATTGTATTTTTTCTCTGTATATCTTAAGGCGTATTTCTTTCGGGCGTCCTAAACCTAGGTGGGCTGACATTGGGCTTTCATTCGTAAAACTACTCTTAACATGCCAGGAGCTTGGTTGCACTCATTTTGTGGTAAGGTATGGCATTGAATTGCTCAATGTAAGAATTCATCCTATACAGCAAGGCTCATTTGTACGAGTTTCTTGTTGAAACATGTACCAGAATTTTTCTTTAAATTATGCATACTAAAGAAATTCGTGTTTAAAAAAAAAACAAAAAAATCCGTTCCCGATGTTTTATTACTGTCATTTGTAACTTTTTTGAAACATTTGGAGATAAAAAAAAACAGTGTGCAAGATCAAAAATCCATAAAACAATTCAAAATGGGACCAGCGCAAACACAGACCTTTAAAACATCAGAGTTTGGATCAGGTGCCATACAGGAGTGAGCATTGAATTTGAAGCAACCGCTAATGACAGATATAACATGGAGCGTTGTCATGCAACGCTTAATATCATAAATTATTGCATTCATAGTTGACTTTCTGAACTGCTTAATTATATAATTCTTTCATTAAGCGTCGATTTGACTTAAGCGGCTGAGAATGTCAACAATTAATGCAAAAAAATATGGCATTAAACGTAGCATTGTAAACCATAGTGATAATTATATCATTAAGCAACGTTTTAATATAAGTGGTTGGTACAGAGCATCCCATGCCATCAAAACTATGACATGAAAACTCTCTTTTCAGTTAAAATTTTAATGAGGAAAAAACATGAAAATGAATTATTTTATGATGCGTTTTATATAATGAGAAATATTTTATGAAAATTAAAATCTTATTCAAAATTTAAAGTCTATAAGCCTTGAACATTTTTTTTCTCCAAATGATGTCATGGGAAATGCAAGTGGTACTTAGAACCTACTTGAAAGAAAAATATGGAAAAAATACTAACAACATGGTAGAAAAGACATGCTAGACATAGATCGATGTTACCTGCTTTCCCAGGTCCTCCTGAGCTGAAACTGACGGAGCGCGTCCTCCTCATTCTCCTCCTCTTCCTCAGACTCCATCCTCTGTAACATCTGTATGGGGGACTCCTCGCTCATGTTCAGCGACCGCGTAGCAAAGTCCTTGTATATCAAACATGTTATACAGCTTTATTATTTAAATATTGACAATCTCCAATGGTATTACTTTTGAGTATAAATTAAATAAAGAAAAAACTTGCTAAATATATTTGTTAAAATAATGATACTTGTACAGTAGAACTTAGTTATAACAAAGTCTCTGGGACCTATATAACATTATTTCACTATATCCGTAATCCGTAATTCGTTATATTTGTATAAGGAATTCGTTAAATTAATATAGCTGGGGATCCAATATAAGTTCGCTATAGAGTAAAACTCGTTTAGTACGAACACGGATATTGCGAATTCACGGATATAGCGAAGTCATCTTGGATCCCCAGCTAAATAAATTTAATGAATTTCTAATACGGTTATAACGAATTACGGTTATAGCGAAGTAATTTCATAGGTCCCAGCGACTTCGTTATAACCGAGTTTTACTGTTTTCTGTATTCGTGAATTTACAAAATCCGTGTTCGTACTATATGAGTTTTACAGTACACAATCCCCATGTGACTCGCCTTGGACAAGATGTACAAAATAAAATTTATTTTTCTATAATATTCCAATGACATATGTGTAGACCATTTAAAAAAATATATATATACTGATGTAAAGCTTTATACACTACTGTAATCTTAATGCGTTGTATAGGTACTATGAATTTCAAATTTATCTATAAGTTAAATCTGCACTACTAAAGGTACAAGTACATGCAATTCAGCATGACTAATTATGACACTACTATTTGAGATTTTAAAGATTACTAGTATATAATTTACATAGATTTCCATTAAGAACCCAATCCTACCCGCAGGGGCCAACATTTAAACACTCTTCTATATGCACTATTTAAAGATGAATATTATTATTAGAAAATGGTAGAAAAATCCATACCCTGGACAACTGTATAAGGAATCTTAGGACAAATTGTGAAAATCCGGGTAAATCCTCAGCAACTGCTAGGCAGAAAAAATCTGAAGTTTCAAAATCCAAAAGCTGTGTGTTCAGGAACCAGACAAAATGTCGAAGCTCAGCCCACGAGGGGTCTCTGATACCACAATGTCTGTTTAAAGAAACATTCAATAGTTTATCAAAATTATGCGGAGCACAGGTAACGACTTGACAACCAGGGAGTTATTTCAAATAGCAGATTTAAATTTTTTAAATATGCTAATGACCAAAACGTTAGGAAGATTCCATTCAGTTACTTTTATATTGGAATAAATGTATTGGACATGTTAAAATATGTAGTAAAATTATTGAATGAATATCGAAAAATACACCTAACCTTGTTCTCGCAATAACGATTCACATCCAAACTCAGGCGGGGATATCATCCTTATGTTCAGACAATATCTTATACATGTACATAACAGTAAAGGAGAATAAACAATAACTAGTTTTTAATTGTAACGGAGACCGTTACAGATGTTCCCCAAACGCTCACCAACTCCCTTTTTGTGCCTTATACCCGTAAGACTTTTTTAAAATATGCTCAGTGCCGAAGGATTTCATAAAAGAATTATAAAAGTTACATAGGTCGAAAACATTAGATTTTCTGATGTCAGCATAAATTTGCATGTAAATTAGCTATCTGTTTATTTTTCCCACTGATGAATGAGTCGCAATGCATTATGGGCTATTACTAAAACTTCTCAGTTGTGTTCAAAATAAAGGGCAACTTGAAATGTCCCTTGGAAACTAATTCTCTTCAAAGATTGATGAGAGAAATATTAAAAAATAATATAAAGTCTTATATTTCTATATTCACATTTCCAAAATTTGCTTTATGAAGCCTTATATCAACTTATTATACATCGGCCTAAACCATTGTTCAAAGAGACGAAGGTGCTATCGTGTCGATAAGGCATTGGAAGGTTTTTTTTACGTGTCACAATTTTCATTTGATTTTATTGTGTTGGTAATGGCGTACCATAATTTCATTTTCTACGTGTGAGTTAAGAGCAGGCCGTAGAAGTGAGAAGGTTTATCCTTCCTACACAGAGTTGCGACTCTACGGCGATCATCCCGATCAAGCCACGATCTGGAATTTTTTTGGATCGGGGCAGATCGCAACCGATCGGCGTTTATATAGAGCAATTTGGCAAATTATGGTCTTCGTTACGACGGTAATACAATGTCCCTACGTCAAATGCGCTGCTAACACGCTTCTACTACGATGTTATGTAGACAGTTGCCTACAAGCGGCCGTGCTTACTGCGTTTACGCTTCGCTGCCACTACGACATTGAAGACCATACTACGACGCTACACAGACCAAGATGACTGTACCGCGATGTCGCTACGGTATTGTCGATCATATTACGATTGCATTACGCTTCTAGTACGATTTTTGGCGATGATGTAAATATATCTTGCAACCGCAGATTTTTGTAGTACGATTTTTGCGATGATACATACAATGTATCTTGCGACCGCATTTTTTTTGCGGCCTTTACCACATGGCTCACGGGCATTTTCAATTGTAACTGTACCAAGATGTGAAAAGTCTCCATTGCAAATGATCGTCACGTATAGTGTCACCCTTTACATGTAGTTTAAAGATAATGATTGGTCAAATATCAGCGCTATAAGAACTACTGTCTTATAGGTCGTGATATGATCGGCGTAAGGTCATTGTAGGTCTTCGTAGGATCCTCAGGAACGTAGAGAGATCGTAGTGAGAACGTAGTACGAAGTTACGTAGAAAAAGCGTTGTATGAGCGTACTTGGTAAGTTCCTACGCTCTTACGGCGCTTTTACTACGATCACGACGATTTCTCCACGATGCTTCCGCGCTGCTTGTGCGATTACGGCGCTTCTACTACGCTCTTTTTACGACTTAACCCCGATTTTTGTGGGCCACGATCCCGCTACGTTTGTTTTGGACATGTTCAAAATAAGCGTGGTAAGAGCGAAGAGCTCTCCGATCATGAAAACTCTACTGCGATCATACTACGCTTATGACGACTCCACAACGTTTCTCTTGCAATTTGTCACGATCGGCTACGCTTTCGCCTGTACGAAAATTTACGCCCTGACTCCAGGCGGAATTCAGAAGACGGAATCCGCCTATCATCTATAAGGAACTTAATAAGGCTTTAGACGGAGTCCGGGTGGAGTCAGGGCGTAATAGGGCTCGAAATATTTAAATGAGTTAAGGCGTATTCCGCCTTTCCTAATATGGATTACCTGCAAGGCGTATTCCGCCTTACCTACAAGGCGTATTCCACCTAACCTGCAAGGCGTATTCCACCTAACCTGCAAGGCGTATTCCGCCTAATCTGTAAGGCATATTCCGCCTAACTTCAGGTAGGCGTATTCCACCTTACTAGCAAGGGGTATTCCGCCTAATGGTTAGAGGGATTTTGCATTAATGTTTACATAATCTACATGTACTTATCACAGCTAGTGTATCAGATATTGTTGTTTCACACTTTTGCAAACTTAGTGATTAAAAAAAATTAAATTATACAAATTATTATTATATCATTTATTTTCTAGTTCTTTAAAATTCAATGACTACAAAACATGTTTACATTTCAAAATGTCCTGCCTTGCCTTCACATGAAATTAAAAGATAAAAAATATTGTACCAAAACTTGATTTAACAATTAGATGTTAATTTACAACTGGTTGAATATTTTCACAAAATTCTTTCTGTCTGTAAGGAAATAGTGTGTCATTTTTATTGTTCTCCTTCCTAAGTTATCAGTGGTATAACCTAGCTATCTTTTTTATGATTCCAGCTTTCCTTTGCCATCCTTCACACAACACATGATGAAGTCTGTAAAAAAAATACAAATCTGAGATGAATTTGTCATTTTAAAAAAACTCTTCAACATTTTTCAATAAAATGCTTCTTTTTAGAATTCTATTTTGAATTACACATCAGCTAGGATGCAAACATTCTTGTGTGATTTTTCTCAACACTAAAACTTGCATAATATAGAATAATTTTTCATTTATATCTATCAGTTGTCTGATATCTTCATGTATTCTTACCTCTCATAACCTACTGTGGATATCAGCCAGTTATGTTCATAGATAAACTGGCTCCCATTACTCTCCACTACATTTGAATGAAGCACGTGTTAGATTGCATTCCTTTTCCCCATGAATATTCAGCAAGCTCTCAAAGAAGAACAGAATTGCCTGTTTACTGGAAAGGGTGGATGGGCGGTGGCTTCTGGCCTTCATCCTGACTTGCTGTAGTTGCCGCTATCCTCATTTTATCTTTATCAGCCATAATCGCTAAGGACTTGTACATGTCGAAGTGCTGAAATGTACAACACTGCACTCAGTGCACTGCAGAAAATCCTAATATTTACAATTTCAATATTAAAGAGGTTTTAATTATTTCATAATTTTCATACATTTGAAAAGGGTACTAACATAAGACCCCTTTCTACAAATATATTTTTAATTAACACGTATAATCAAATGATAAATAAATAGCTTCTCATGGAATATGTAGATCTAACTTATATCAATTTATCATATGTGAATAATACTCTTATCCATGTATGTTTTAGAATGTAAATGGTGACTTACAGATCTCAAACCTGACTCCTGATCCAAACTAAGCAGCAAACTACACTTTTAAAAGGGTGTTTGGGTAACAATTCCACTAACCACTGGTTAAAACAGTGCTTAGACACAAATCATAACAAAATTTCCAACCGTGATTTTAAAACTGGAAGTAAGTGACGGTCGCTAATTTTAATGGGAAATCATATTTCCGGAAAACACATTAAAATAAGAAAAGGATATAAAAATTGAACAATGACTTAATATAGTTTTTTCCCTATCTTTTATCTCTGCACTTTTTAACATTTTACTCCAAAAGGGAAACACTCATAATATTGAGAAAATTTGCAGGGGTGGGGGTGGGGGGGTGATGGGGGGGGGGGGGGGGTTGAGGCTACCCTACATTTGGCAATAAGAAATGGCGCCTGAAATTTTATGCGCATTTTTTTAAAGATCTGGGTTAGTGTAGAGTGTATTGTGAATATATGGGACCTCAATGCTATTGGAATTAATTAACAGAGTAATGGTGGAGTCCAAATTTTGGCTGTACGAAATAAAAAAAGGGAGAGAGGGAAAAAGAAAAAACAAAACAAAAAACACGGCTTAAAATTCAACTTACCGTTGTTTTCCACATTTATTCCTGTACCGAGGTCCATCCCTGTCCATTTAGCACATGATGTTAATTTGCTTCACTTCAAAGCTCAGTAGAATAACACTAAAAGTTGTCACTCTTTTTTTTCCAAAAAACACATATCGAATGAACAATCATCTTCTTAATAATAATTTGCAGGCATACATCTTGCCTAAGTTCCTTTTTAACTGAATGAAATATAAAGATTCATCGACCAAATTGACAACAGTCATCACTTTCAAAATCTGCATTCAAACTGACCAGTGCATCCAAAAAGAGGCTCTGCCTGAAAATTTCCGCCCCAGTAGAGGGGGGTCAAGCAGGTGCGCATTGGAAACGTATATCTGGTATATAAAATATGGCAACAAAAAACTTACTCATCTAGGAAACGCAATATTCAATGTTATACAAAGCATAATACTCGAAGTCAAATAAATTGATTAAAAGTTATGTTGACTATTTTTTACAAATATCTCCCCCATTAGTGCCTTAAGAAAACAAGGTCATCTAGAGGAATAAAACGTGTTGTCATAATTTAAACTGTTCACAATTCTAAGATTAATGCAGATTCCGTCTAAGAGCTAAGCCGGAAAACGTCTAACAAAAATACGCCTAGGATTTAAGGTGGAATCCACCTAAGATATGAGGCGGAAAACGGTTAAAGCTTAGACGTTTTCCATGTCCGCCTTAGGTACGGCTTGGTCCTCCTAGCACTTAACCGGAATCCGTCTCAGTCCGCCCGGACTCCGGCTGGAAAACGGTTAAGAGTTTCGTACGGGCAGCCACGCTTTGATCGTAGTAGAAGCGGCGTCTATGTGTGAACGGGGGGTAAGTGAAATTGTTGTATGACCTGTGTGGTCTCCAGACAAATAGTTGTGTGCATTTGACCTGAATGTTTGGTGTGTTTGAGAAGTTTTCCTGTGTGGACAGTAAAGTACCGTATAAGTAGAATTTGTAGCGAGGATTTAATTTTGGCATTATTAGCGAGGGTGCTGACATCGCTAAAATTGAATATCGCTAAAGATTAATTGCGTATTAATTGTAATAGCTCTTTTAGCAAGCATTTCAAAATCGCTAAAATTACTTCTCGCTATAAATAAAATACCAGATTTTAGGTAGAGATCGCCAAATTTGCGGCTCGCTAAAATTTCCACTTATACGGTATTTTGAGTACTTTGGCAGCGGTGAGTTTGAAATGTTTATTTTCTTATCTAGTTTATTTTTTGTTTGTTTTTTTTCTTTTCCTAAAGTTATTACTATGTTAAGTTTTATTTGTGATAGATAATATACCCGTTATCAAAGACCTATATATAATAAACAAATAATAATTATGCTAAGTATTTAAGTTTAATGTTTTATTCGAGTTGGCAGGTATTGTCCACAGTGGTCTACACAACAGTGGGGCAGCCGGCAAAATGGCATACCCGCAACATCAACATAAGTTGTGCCCTCCCTGACGGGAAAAGTAGCACGCTGGGTTGACCTCAATCGTGCTACGGACACATTTCAACACAAATTGACTTTTAATTATATTATTTTGCTTTAGATTTACATTATATAAGATATAATTTTCAAAGTCAACATCATATATCAACATCAAACATCACAGATATCAACATCAACCACAAAAAATCAACAAAATCAACAGTTCAATGGTTAAATTGAAGGTGACGATTTCGCCACACGACCACTGTGAAGTATAGTCTACTGTCTTTCCCCGAACTCCTTGAAATCATGGATAAATCGCCAAGTTGACACTTGTCACGCATGGTATTCGGTCAGAGATCATTCCAAAGGTCCTTGAATACGGAAATAGCAGGCAATTCTGATCAGCACCGTTAGTCTCCTTCAACGAAATCTCCAATACCTGAAAAGACAAAAACAAAGCCCCACAGCAGAAAAAGATTCTCAATAACATTTCCATAACTTTAAGAAATTGGCTATACCTAACCCATGTAAAACAATGTAAACGTAATTTAAACAAACAAAAGGAGAAAGAGTATATACTTAACACTTAGCTCAAGGGTTGAGGTGGGAGGGTATTTCATAATACAGAAAAATAAATCGGATACTTTCATCACCCACCTTTCACTTTCATTGATGCATAGAAAAGGGGAGATAACCCGTAAACCTAGTGACTACGTACTGACACTGTATGGATGGATAAATAAATTCCGGCTTATCTCATTTATTCGATTTTTCACAAAAAGGAGGTGAATGATGACATATAATTAAAGGATAGAGCTTTGATAACGACGCATATTGTGAGATGAACTCAAATATGCGGTATTATCAAAGACCTATATATAATAAACAAATATGCTAAGTATTTAAGTTTAATGTTTTATTCGAGTTGGCAGGTATTGTCCACAGTGGTCTACACAACAGTGGGGCAGCCGGCAAAATGGCATACCCCCAACATCAACATAAGTTGTGCCCTCCCTGACGGGAAAAGTAGCACGCTGGGTTGACCTCAATCGTGCTACGGACACATTTCAACACAAATTGACTTTTAATTATATTATTTTGCTTTAGATTTACATTATATAAGATATAATTTTCAAAGTCAACATCACATATATCAACATCAACCATCACATATATCAACATCAACCACAAAAAGTCAACAAAATCAACAGTTCAATGGTTAAATTGAAGGTGACGATTGCGCCACATGGGCACCTGGTGGGGGTAGGCAACTTCAATTTAACCACCCACCATGGACTCCTAGCCTACTCAAAACCCTCAGCAACCCATCCATCGTGAACATCACTCTCTCTAATTTCTAACCCACTGTAGATTAATGCTGCATTAAAATAAATCTGGTCACCCTTCAAATTTATCGTGCCTTACCCCCCCCCCCTTTCCCTGATTTTATATCTTTCGAAGTTGTATTGCTTTGGGTCTCTATTTCTATTACTAATATCCAGCTATTTTACTCAGTCAGAAAGAAAGAACTAACTGGACTAATGTAAGAAAATAAAGTAGAAAATATGTTTTATCTAGATTTATCCCCCCCTTTTTTTATTTATTGGTTTATTCATTTGAATTTTATTTCTTATTCATTTTTAGGTCATTTGAAAGAAAAATGTGTAATATACTTTCCTGCAAAGATTACAAACAAGATGAATGAGCACCTATACTCTCTACCACCCACCCCCCCCCCCCTTCAGCATGATTATGTTGTTCCTGTATTGTAGACAATAATTTTAAGTGTTCACATTCCCACTCTGTCAGGTGCAGAACATGTTTTGTGATATTTTGTAATGTATCTTGCCAGTTCTGAAGAAATGAGGTTATCTAAGTACTACTTCTTTTTTAAACCAACTCATCCGAAGACCATGTAAAATTGATTAAATCTTGTATATACTATTTACCTTTCAAGCCAAGAAACACAATAGGGTACTTTGTATTTACTCCTAAGCATTTGTAAATGTAGATGGACTGTACAAGACATGTAAGGCACATATGACTAAAACCTTTATTCTAAATCCCTTTCCAGCAGATACTCTATCAAAAAGGCATGATCTTACTACACCTTAATCTTCCTACTTTGGGAATTTTGGGGAGGGCCCCCCCCCTTTTCCTCTTGCAAAAATATGCTATGGAATGGGTTATTAAAAATATAGACTTCAAAATTCTTTTTAAGGCTGTAAAAAATAGATTTATGATAGAGAGCATGAAAATTAATATGCTAAGTTAGTGTAAAAATATCCTTTCTATAATACCCTAAAATGCTGTCGAAGTTTATCTAATCTTAGCACTATGAAACGTTAACTCCTACTCACTTGTGGATTTGTATTTGTATCCCCTAGCTAACCTGTATTTTACTCCAGCATGCTAGAGGTTCACGACGAGATACTTTTGACTTGGCTCCGAGGTACATAAGGAGCGTAGGGACGTTAACCGAGGCTCTTATACATGTAGGAGTAACCTGTATTTGTACCCATTAGCTGATGCATGGATGTAAACTACATGTACATATGCAATTATGCACCGACTAATGCATCTTAATCTCATATGAGATTAATGTGTAAAAAAGAAAATAATTCAGCTAACTGCTCACATGAGGGATAAACACATACCATATTACATGCGAATGGCAACTGGGTTTGAACTGATATTTTCAATGAAGAAATGCCCCTAAGATATGCATATGTGTAAGCTAACAGTAAGCGCCTACTATTAAAAAGAAAATATTGTAGGAAATGGATCAGATTATAATCTAGCCTGTGGTACAATATGTATCTAACCCATCCCCCCACCCCGAATTTGTATCTCTATGCTGTTAGGAATTCTCGCCTTATGCGGTTCTTTCATTTTATTTATTTATTTATTTTTTAAATCTTATAATTCCACATGAATAAAACCAGTTACCTAAACAATTTATCCTTTATGAGTTTAAAATCTGTGGATATAGAATTTTAACTGAAGCAAGTTTTATCTGTGTGAAAATAGCAAATCTTTTGTATCTAATAACTTAGAGACACAGCAGAAACCAACACTGACAAAAATTTAAGCCCCATTTTAAACCTTATACTGGAAGTCTCATTATAACCCTCTTTATTTCATTTATTTGTTGATTTATTTATTATTATGACCACTCATACAGCATATGCCATAAGGAAAACAAATAGAAAGACCAGCACTGCGAGCCTTATTCAAATGAGCCTGCATTGACTTTAGCACCTAAAGAAC